GTTTGTTCCTCGATTGATGATGAACACAACGGTGGTTTCAATTTTACGATTGGACGTCGAACGGCGTCGGAATCGGGCTTGGAAGTAAGGTACGAGAGAAGGAAAATTGAGCAAATTCTCAATTGTGTTTTCTGATTTACAATCAGAAACCACGCTTAAATTATAAGCCTGCCAACACTCCTTGGAGGAATTCAGGGCTTGGTCCCTGAATTTCCTTCAACTTATAAAATGGCCTATAACTTTTCATAAATTTTAGTTCAGTCATTAAATTTCACCAATTTTCGCAATTAACGTCCAATTTCAATTAAATATTATTTTGTAAATATTCGGGTTGTTACACACCCGGTGCTAACGTTTCAAGAAAACGTGTGTCATAAAATCGAGGACTTAAAGCAAATCTCAAACAATGTAAAAGTATGTTCATTTTCTCCCACATTTTCAATAGAATTTATTCTACTTGAGGGAAATAAGATGCATATATACTTTCCTTCATCACATCTTTGATTTCTCCAATCATATTATCCATTTTCTCATATATTTCGCCCATTTTTGGGCCTTCACCATTGCAAAACTTCACCATCAAGAAAATAGTCTTCGTGATTTTTAGAATGTTTTCAACTTCATTCCAAAAATCATCATCTATGATAGTGTCCACAACAAGCTGTGAAATAGTTCTAGTATGTTCATCCCCTTGTTTTGCCCAATCTCTCCATGAATTTAGAGAAATTTTTATTGAAATGGCCTCTCTACAAGTGTTTAACCTCTTCAACAAAATGTAGTGAGAGGCAAAACGGGTTTTTACAATCTTTAGTAGCTCTAACTTAAAATTGTTCTCTAAAAATTAGGCCTGTAAACAAACCGAACGCACACGAACGGAGGTATGTTCATGTTCGTTCATTTAATAAATAAACGAACATGAACATAAACGAACAAATTTTTTTTTGTTCATGTTCGTTTATTAAGGAATATAACTTGTTCATGTTCGTTCATTTAATAAATAAACGAACATAAACGAACACGAACATAAATGAACACGAACATAAACGTTGGAGACCCTACCTTCCATTGTTCTTTCATGAAAAATAGTTGACAATGCAAATCAACCAAATCTACAATGATAAATAGCGTAAGAGCTGATTAGCAGTGATGAAATATTTGAAGATATCAAATATTTCTATCGATCTTTTAAAGATATTAAATGATTCACACGACTTTAATTTAACGATATAACATTTATCTTAGTGGTCCATGATTACATATGAACAATCATTTACGTTATTCTAATAAATTCGACGGCTAAAAGTTTTGTGACATCAATGTCAGACTTTAGTGAAGTTTGTTAATAATGGTTCTTTCCGTTGGCAGAGTAGAAAATTTAACAGCATGAAGATTTCGAACGGTACAAATTGGACTACAAGGCAATAACATAGATCCGAAATCCCTTCGATGCTACATGTCGTAACTGATATTATTGCTAAACCACCATTCAAAATTTTAACGTACCTAAAGTCTACTCCACAACTAAAGGCCACACAAGAACTATGAAAACAAAAGTTCATTGTCAAAGTGTATTTTCTACTTATTAATGGGTTCTTCCTAGAAAACTCATTACTTCCGCTATTACACTCTTTTGCAGAAATTGCATAGAAACCTTTGTTTTGTTTTCTGGCAAATTCTATATATTTTTCTCTTTACTGATGCTCATATACTTCCGATTGTTACATTTATCTTCCCATCTATTTCTAGAAATAAGTATGATGTTTTCTTGAGTTTTAGATGTGAAGATACCCGCAATAACTTTATATATCAACTATTAAGCCAAATAAAACAGAGAAAGAGATAAAAACATACCTGTAAAACTTCAGATTGCACTATAATATAACTTGTTTTGAAGCTTTCAGTGATCGTCTCTACTCTCTAGTGAACACTAGGGTTTGGGGAAAAAAGGGGAAAATGAATATAGGCGCGAGGTGCCTCACAGGTTAACATATTGGATTTAATCTCCAAATAAAATTGGGTTAATTATGGAATTGGTCATCAGAATATCAGATTAATTAATATTTTTAAGATACTTACAAATTGGTCACCAAAATTGATTTAAGAAGATTAGGTTAAACATAAATGAATGAACATACAAGCATAACCGAACGAACATAACCGAACATAACCGAACAAACATAACCAAACATTCACGAACGTAAATGAACGAACGAGACTTATGTTCATGTTCGTTCATTTAATTAAACGATCACAAAATCTTGTTCATGTTCATTCATTTAATAAATAAATGCACATAAATGAACTTCCCGCCGCACGGTTCATGAACGGTTCGTTGAACGTTCAGTTCATTTACAGGCCTACTAAAAATGGATAAAGCTTGTCCATGGTTCAAAAAATATTTGACAATCATTTTCCCTTTTTATATGTATTCTCTAGCCAAATAAATTCATTTGCAAGGTCTTTAAAACTCAAGTTTAATGTATGCACACAAGATGGTGACCAAAAAATATGCTTGTATACCTTTTCGATTTTCTTTCCCGCAAGTTTGCAATTGGCTGCGTTGTCTGTGACGACACTGAGAACATTACTTGGGCCGACAGATTCAATCACTTGGATCAGAAATTCAGCAATTGTTTTTCCTTTTTTCTCCACCCCAGAAAAATCTTCGGCATACATGAACATAGAACCACGGCTGTTCACAGCAAGAACATTGATTAAGGGTTTTTGTTTGATGTTTCTCCACCCATCAGATACAATAGAAAGACCTTGTGAGTACCATGTATCTTTAAATGGTGTTAGGTCCTTCTCCACATCTCTAACACATTCATCTAGTAGAACGGTTCTTACTTTCTCGCTAGATGGCGCTTTATAACCTTCTGGTGCCTTTCTTATTGCATTTATCATTTCACGAAATTGTGGATTACGCAAAACGTTAAACGGATCCCATTTTCACATAAAGCCCTCATGATTTTTAAATCTACCGTGTTTCTCTCCATTATAGAAAAAGATTGCTCTAACGGTTTCTTAGAGCTTAAATTCTATCTTTTTGTAACTATAGAGCTTTTTAACGACTTAGAAACTCCTAGCTTCTCAGCATCTTTCACCCTCTTTTGCAACCGTTCGTAAGTGTCTCGATCTTTTGCTACAACAAGACATCTTCTAATTTCAGCCTTTTTTCCCAATGGGTCTCCAAAGAAGTGCACATGAATTCTAGTGTACAAACTTGTATACTTGCCTTTACAGTGATTGCAGATCCACTGTTTAGCACCTCCCTCATTCTTGCTATTTCCTACACCAATGAAGGTTACTTCATCAAGGAGTGGCTTAATAGGATCCTTCTCTTCGGTTACTTTTTCAGAATCACTGCCACTACCCTCATTTGCTGTTGTTGTTTGTTGCACATCATCATCAAGGTTAATGTAACCTTGTGTCTCACTGATTCCAGTCTCGTTCTCATCATACTCACTATCTCTTCGATGATTCTGGCCAAATGTCATTGCAGATTTGCAGTGATAAAAAATAGAAACTGAAGAAGAAAAGAAGAGTTTGTGGCTTAGTGAAGGAAATCGACACTGTAGGAAGGTAATCAGGTAATCGACACTGTCTGTGGCTCTGTGCTGTGTGACTAACTTAAATATTTATAATAGTTAAAATCAGAAGATAAAGAATCCATAATTTATGTTATGTGTGAATGAAAATATGATTGATTAATTGAATCCTCTCAGTCGTGAAGTGTGAATAGAAATCCAAAGGCTGGTCAACGTCGTTCTTTCCCGCGTCAGAGTGTGGATGGAATTGAACAGTCAAATTGATGAAATTGGTTATCTGTTCGCGTTTTTTATTGTTCAGAACGATGAATCGATGACTTCAAATCGTGATTTGAACATCAATTGGGTCGATTGGATGGTCAATTTTGGATTGTATAAGCTTTCGTACCGAATCGCGATTTTGAAACAACCTGGACCGTGTTCGTACCTCGTTTTGGATCGCAACGTACAATACGTAAATCGTGGGCTATTGAGCGATTTATGTAACTATGGTTCAATTTATAATAAAATCATTACACACAATTTTTTATGATCTTACCCGAACATGTTGAATTCATTTGTCTTATATTCTCTCGTTCTGTATCAGTTTATAGCAAGAGGTTTATATTTACTTGACTACTTTGATCATTCATGCATGATTAATTAGTTTCTCGTCAAGCTCGCCAAATTTTATTACAATATATGTTGTATATTTCCCGTAAATTACACGTCACTCTTTCACATGCTTCTGTTTTTACTACTTTGTACGAGAGGTCTATAAACTCTCGGAGTTCTTTTTAAGATAAGATTTATTTAGGGATAATCCCATCAGTTCTTTCGCTTGATTACAATATCTCATCATAATCATTATCAATCTCATTAATAATTAATTATATTATTTGACAATTGGATCTATCCGTCTACTAACCCATTAATAACTATTAACTCTATGACTGACACGAATAATCTTACTATCTGATGTCATGGACATATATATGCCTATACGAGTAAATCTAAACGAGAGAATCTTTCATCTCATACTCATTGTTTTTATCTTTTGTTAATGTTTTTTCTCTTTTTTCCTCCGAACTATCATCATCGAATGTGGTTCTCCGTTCAGAACAAAAAGGATTCTCAAATTAGCATAGTGGCTATCCGTTCCGTAGCGTTTCAAACTTCTATTCGGTCTGCGGATTCATTAAAATTGAAGGAATAAAACAGAGGTTTCAGGACCAAATTGGCAATTTTGCAGATTTTTATCTTTCTTATTTGCTCCAAATCTATATGCCTTATCCTTTACTAACTGGTTCTTGAACCATAGACAAACACATATACATATTGATGATATTAATTTAAATTAATTAAAATAAATACAAATTAAGGAAATTAATTTCCCTTACATTTTACAGAAATGCAATTGAGCTAAGGCTACTTAAACATTACTCAAAACTTGTAGTGATGAACATATATTTATAACTGCCACAACTCTTTATTTCCCTATAGCTTTTGGTTTGAATGAGAGTATTCTTCAATTCCATATTTTTTATAAACCTTCAGCTGATTCTCCTCCCACCATTGCTCTGCTCCCTTCTCTGTGAATCGCTTCCGACTATATGCACCGCCACGTGAATTCGAATCAATGAAATAAAGTAGGAAATAAGCATACATACATACATACATACTATGCATGCATTTACGTAAATACATGCACATACATGTATTACCTGAACCTTACTCGCTTTAGCCCCTTGTGGCCACTTGCCAAAGTTGTAAAGGTAACATACACCCCAGCTTCGTATTGTTCTACCCACTCATTTACTTTGGAATCTTTATTACTTGTCCCTGCAGTTTGCTCCGCTTCCATTTGCGCCGCTGTGTCTTGCTTTTCTCTGTCTCGGCCCCTCACTTGCATCCGCATTGATCTCGATTTATTCGAGAACACGATAGGAGTTTCACATGGACTCTCCGTTGTCGCTGGTTTAACTTTGCTTGCAGTCCCCGTCTGCAAACTAGGTAAATGTGGCTCACCCTCAACGCTATGCGTCTCGGTGCTTAGAGGCTCCTTTCTTGTTCTAGGTGACTGATATTGAACAGCAATGCCTGCTGATTTCTCTTCTCTTACAGAAGGGAATTTCCCCGAAATCGAGTGAAGCTGCTGCAGCAAAAAGATTATTGTTATACTTCAAATCCTTATATAAAATTCTCAATCCATAGATATAAGATAAATGGTTTCCCACCCTTAATGCCAAAGCTTTTATCAAGTCCTTCGCTGCTTTACATTTTTCGGCTTCTTCCTTCGCCAAAGACCAAGAGTGCTCGATTTTTCGCCGGCATTCCTCAATCTTTTGGCTTCCAATTTGGCATTGCATTTCAAGGTTTCTTGCCTTTGGGTGAAACACCACTAATTAGTAGAAAATATACACATATAATTGAACAATATTGAAAAGGACATCACTATGTTCAACACAACATATATATACTTGCACCTACGTACCTCAGCTTTCAGCCACTGAACCTCTTCATTAAGAATCGTATCCGATTTCGGTAAATCATTCTCCGCAATCATGGAATCGAGAATAGTAAATTTCGATCGCAGAGGGGACTGATTTTGGGGAAGAGGAGAACCAGCAGCAGCATTTTTACTTTGAGCCTGAGGTGCATCAAAAACAACAGGGCAAGATACATGGCCCCATCGTGGTGTTGCTGCTGACAAACAAGAAGCAGGTTCTTCATAACTTGATGAATGCTTAAGTGAAAGTAATCGGCTCTTCGAAGCATCTTTCTCATCAAGGAAACCTCTCTGAGTTTGAGGACTCAGTAGTTTCCCCACCACTCGGTTTTCCGGCTTCGAATTTTTGGTTAAATTTTTTACCTTTTGTAGCTGATTGAAGCATGAGTTACAAACACGACAAGGCTTGCTTTTATTTGGTGCCAGTGATGTATTAACAACTTTCTTGCTACTACATGCATGGCAAAACAGAAGACCGCAATTGTAACAGTTATGCTTCTTCCTTGCAAACCCGAACGCCATTTCGCATCCTCTACAAGTCGACTGGTCGCTAATGGTGATAGATTTATGTAAACAGATAGCTGCCGTTAAGTTTGAACCACAAGTTATGCTTTCAACCTGCCGGCCTCTCAACGAATCGACAAAACTTGGTGTATTTCGATCTTCCGTATCTCCTAATCCTAACTGTCCATTACTACCCCTCCCCCATGTATACACTCTTCCACCTAATGTCAAGGCAGCAACATGATATGAACCGGAAGAGATATCCTTAACGAATTCGTGTTTAAGCTTCCCTTCTACGACAGTTATGGATTTATCATTGGCTTGTGGGTTCCCTAGCTGTCCATATACCTCACTTCCCATTGTGTAAACTGTACCTTTACTCGTGAGTGCAACAGTTAACATTCCTCCACAACTAACTTGTATAAAATCATGATCCATAAGCTGCACAACACATGTTGGTATAAGCTTTCGATCTCCATCGGCATGCCCGAGCCGGCCTTTATCACCATCTCCCCATGTGAATAGTTTTCCACCATTAGCATTGAGCTTGTTTCGATCCTTCGTAATTTCAGCGATAGCAGCCGTGTGCCATGGTCCACAAGAAACGGATTTCACCCACAAACCCTTAAGAGACTCGACTTCTTTCGGTTGCGACAAATTTTGTGTGTTCCCATGCCCGAGAACTCCAAACGTTCCGTCACCATATGTAAATAATTTCCCTGCAGTGGAAACAATTGCTGTATGCCACTCTCCACAAGAAACTGCAAACACATTTACACCATCCAGTGGACCAGAAACTTTATGTGGCAACCACTGGTTCGTATACGGTTCACCGCCCCAAGTATAAAGTTCGGCGGATTGTGTCAAGGCACATGTTTGGTACTCACTACACGCAACACCTCGCACAGCAATCCCATTGAGGGATTCAACAAGCTTTGGATGGCTGATATCGATGTTAATCTTGTTCCCGAGCCTCCCACCGTTCGCCTCACCCCAGCAAAAGACTTCACCTTGTTTCGTAACTAAAGCAGCATGCCTTGCTCCAAGAGATATGCACTGCACATCCAACATTGTTACTGATTCTAGCAATTTAGGCAATAACACATCGGAGTTCGACCCACTCTGGACTCCAAAACTATCCGAGTGGACACTGCAAATGTTCCCTCCAACTACCTCTTCACCCCATATCATTACATCCTTTAGAATCCCATTCTTTTGTATTTGTGTAGAGCAATGAGTAGGTGCTGAAAACCTGTGAGATGCTTTCTTCCGAAATTCAGGAGCTGCATAATCTATTCCCCACTGCTTGACATCATCCAGTTGAATATATGGAGAATCCGGCGTTAAAGTACTATCCGTAACGTTTTGCATGTGTGACAAATTCGATTCCCAGGAATAAAAGCTATCTGAAGAATATGACAAGCCATCAGAAAAACACCTCTCGGAAAGCGATAGCGAAGGGCTTCCACATAAGCTTCGCACCTTGAAGATTTTGCAAACATTATATGTTAAATGAAAAAAGCATATCTTGTGGCAAAGTAATGAAGTTAAGGCTCTTATACATATAGATACTAAACCTGAGAAAATTGATTCTTTTCCTCCATAAGTCCTAGATTGTGCTTTCTTCGAATAAAACCGGCAGGACTGCTTAGACAACTTTGTGCGCCTCGATTACGATTCCTCAAAGCGGAGACCGAACTGCAACTGTGAGATCTCGATATCGCTGCTCTCAGACCTATGAACCAAGCATCAGCCTCTGTTTTGTCCTTGCATATCTATCAGCAAGTGATGTAAATCAAACAAAAAGGCCAAGAAAGATTATAATTTGTAAACAGCATGAAAGAAAATGTTACCAAATCCACAGAGCGTTCACCATTAGCATAATAAATTAGTGAAATTGACTGTTGCTCCCTGTGGGGTTGGTATTGCCTTTGAAAATTGACCTGCATCAACTTAAACAAAATCATGTTAATGAACATTTCAAAACATCATACTATATATATGTATGTATATATTAGTTTGCATGTTATACTAAAAAGTAGCAAGGCACGTACGGTCTTCTGGCCAGCGATAATCTTGTAAACAGAGCTCAATCTCAATTGCCTTTCCTCTTGTCCTGAATACCAGATCAAATATTTCTCATCCTGAAATACAAATAACATTTGGTCCTTTAATATTTGTTTAAACAGGGACAGAAATGGAAAGGTGCACCAGAAGCAGAATCCATGGTTGCAGAGGAATGAATGAATATTATATATGTATATATATTTATTAAGACTATGAATTATTGAAAAAGGAAAATGGTAATGCAGAGGGCATTAAGAGGTGAGAACAGAGAATGCCCACCGTAGAAAGCCTGAAAGGACAGAATTTAGGCTTCCCTCTTCTTCCACACTTCAAAAGATGTGCTCCCTTCTTCATTGCCAATACTGCCTGAAACATTACATGCATCAGACTTCAATGAGGATCAAGTAATCATCAATATAAAATCTTTCTTTTTTTATTAATTTTGAAGATTGAAAGAGGTGAAAAGAGCAAAGAAGAGAACCTGTTCAACATGTCTGTCAAAAGGAAGCATTGATACTAAGGCATCTCCTTCACCCATTTTCCTTTTTCTTTATACTAGTATTCTTTTCTTGGCAGATACTTTCATTTCATAGGGAAGAGCAGAGGAAGAAGAAGAAACTGGGAGTTAAGTTCAGTTGGTTGGTTTCACCATAAGTTAACCTTAATAACCATCACCACTTTCACTTTGGGCATAAAATTATTTCTACAGGGACAAAGACAGAGACATGCATTTGTCTATTTCGTTCTATTCCTCAATTAATATATAGTAAGGATTAAAAGAAATAAATAAATAAAAACATGAGCGAATGAAGATGTTGTGTTGTTCCATTACCTTGCATTGATTTTGGTGTAATGGGACAGACACATTTTAGGCAACAAAACCAAACACACAAACAATACCTTTTGCACGTGTTCCCGACTTTTCTTCTTTCTTCCTTATCTCTGTAATCTCCTGTTTTTTACCCCATCCCCAATGCTCTTTTCGATCTTTTCTTCCCAGCCTTCTCCTTTTCATCATTTTGTTCTTTCACCTTTTCTGACTTTTATTTTAAATCTCATAATTAGACTTAAACTGAAATCAATTAAATCACAAATATTTAAAATTCAAAGATGGGATTTTAAATTTCAACTCCAATCGAATTAACATAAATGTAAATTTTATGCAAAAGGTAGACGTATATTAAGATTTGATGAATAACCACCGTTTGTCGTGGTCAGCCGGGAAAAGATAGTCAAGTACGGTAACATAAACGTTAACAATAACAGATATAGCATAACTTAACTACAGCTACATACAAACACTAGATAATAGGCAATTAAATGCTTTCAAACTTCAAAGCCCCATTAATCTGCCGTCCGAGTGCATGCATGTATGCTTTTTATACTCTACTCGCTATACTATTTCTCTCTCTTTATTTCTCTCTTTTAGCCATTATATTTAATATTATATCGTCTTTCAATAATTTTATTTCATGGTTCGTTTGTATTGATGTAGTCATATTTGTTTGTATCTTTCTTTTGTTCAGATTTGTTGGATGGGTTTTAACATTTTTCTTGTATAATCATTGTATTATCTCGAATAATTAGTCTATTATGTTGAAAATTATTATATTTATGTGTTTAGTTTATGATCTTAATTATAATTTTGAAAATTTCTATTTTTAATAAAATTAATGATTATATTTGCATAAAAAATAACATTCTTGGTATTTAGAAATTAACATGTAGTTTCTACAATTTAAACATAATTAAGGATTGAAAAAGTTTTTAAACTTTTAAAAAAATTATTTTAAAAATATTTTGAAAACTTTTAAATTTAAAAATATGTGATTTGTTACTTTTTTTTATTAAGTGATTTGTTAATTTAAATATAAAGTGTTATGAAAAAATTAAGATATTTTTCATGTAACCATCGATTGCGGATTGTCGTGGTCAGCTGGAAAATATGGTCGAATACGGTAACATTAACGTTAACAATAACAAATTTAACATAAGTACGCCTACATTTTTCATGTAATAAATACTCAATAGACAATTAAATGCTTTCAAATTGAACGGCTATTTCCAAAATTACAATAAGGATTTATAACTATCACCGTATTCTAAATACATAATTTAGTCATTTTCTTATAACGCTAAAACTAGTTACTTTAGATCATATAAAGACTACATGGAAAAGGTTAAAAACTCAATAAAAATATAACAAAAATAGATACGAATAAATCTGGCTGCATCAGCAAATGAACCACAAAAGGAAATAAGCTATTGAAAGATCACCGAGAACCATAAATCAGAGCCAACGTCGTGAGAAACTATCCACAAATGCAAAATCGTGTATCCAAATTCAATCAAAGAATTCATAGCAGGGAATATCAATAGGATTATAAATAAGTGTCATCTTAATCTGTCTCAGCGTCGTCAAATTCAACCCTAAGAAAATAAAAAATAAAAAGAACGACTAAATGATTGAGAAAGAAGACGAAAAATATGTCATAAAGACGAAAAACGTGTCAAAAAGACAAAAAAAAATGTGTTATCAAGGTAAAATTATTTTTATTAAAAAAACAAAAGAAACAAAGAGATAAGAGAACTAGCGGTTGGCAACCAACATTAAAATCAATGCCGACATTGGTTAAACAAAATCAAAAAAGAAAAAATTGATCTAAACTATGAAAAACGATACTAACTCTAAAAAACAAAACAAAAAAAAGAAGAGAGAGGTGAGGAGAGCAGCTAGAGTTTTCTCCGCCTAAATAGATATATATTTCTTTATATGTTATATTTAACATTCATGATTATAACTCATTAAATGGTTTTTGTGTTGCAAAGTCAATTTTGGTGGGTTGTAAAAGCAATAAAATTGTTGAATTGTCAAAGCAAATTTTTGGTGGATTGTTGGCAGAGAAGCTTTCGGTGCAAGTGGGTAGCAATTGCTGAATTTTTGAAATGAGTAAAATGCACTTTAGTCGTTGCACTTTAGGGTATTTTCAAAGATTAGTCCTTAAGCTTCAACTATAAATACCCTAACCCATTTAGCTTCAAAATCTTCCCATAAATCATTTATTTCTCCATATACTACAGAGTTTTCTTGTGAGTAGTGAGTGTTTTGTAAACACCTGTAAATTTTCTCTCTTTAGTAAAATATCTGCAGCAGTCCGAAGACGTAGGCATAATTGGCTGAACTCCGTTATCAATTTCGGGTATTATTTTTCCGCTTTTATTTCGCATTCTCACTAATCTGGTTATAGGGAAATTACTCTTTACTCGTTGATTTCCCAACAACTGGTATCAGAGCTTTTGGTTGTGAATTTTGTCAATTTTTTTGCAATGTTACTATTTATTACTATTCACGTAAATAGTGAATTTCGTTAATAGTAAAAATTTTGTCGGTGATACGAATTTATCGACGGAGGTGTTCTAATACTTAGTGGTTCGCAAGAATTGTCAGAAACGATCCAAACAAAGCCAGATTCGAGTGGGAGCGATGGCTGCAGGCGAAGGGAATGTGAAAATTGAAAAGTTTGATGGTGCGAACTTTGGCTTTTGGAAGATGCAGATTAAAGATTTTCTGTACCAAAAAAATTTATATCAACATCTCTCAGGAAAGCAACCAGAGGGCATGAAGAATTAAGATTGGGCTCTTCTCGACATACAAGCCCTTGGAGTTATCCGACTGACGTTGTCCCGAAATATTACTTTCAACATAGCAAAGGAAAAGACCACGGCGGGTCTTATGGCGGCTCTCTCCAGTATGTATGAAAAGCCATCGGCCTCAAACAAAATTCATTTGATAATGCGATTATTCAATTTGCGGATGGCGGAAGGGGCATCAATGGCTCAACACCTAAATGGACTCAACATAATCACAACCCAGTTGAGTTCCGTGGAAATTGAATTCGATGATGAAGTTCGAGCTTCAATTCTCTTATCATCTCTACCAGACAGTTGGAATGCTATTGTTACAGCAGTCAACAGCTCGTCGAGAAACAACAAATTAAAATTCGACGATGTTCGGGATCTGGTATTGAGTGAAAAAATTCGATGGAGAGAATCGGGTGAAGCATCAACCTCCTCAGCCTTGCACACGGAGTCTAGAGGGAGAACTTCATAAAGAAATTCAAATCGTAGCAGATCGAAATCCAGAACGGGAAAATCAAGAACGGGAAAGAAAGATTTTACCTGTTATAATTGTAGCAAGATGGATTACTTTAAAAGAGATTGTCGAGCACTGAAGAAATATATCGGCGCACAGGAATCTGCCAACATGAGAGATGAGACAGGTGATGCCATGATTCTAAGCGTCAACAATCCGATTGAATCATGAATCTTGGATTCAGGGGCATCTTTCCACTCCACCCCATGCCAAGAAATCATGGAGAACTATGTCAGTGGTGATTTTGGAAAGGTTCATCTAGCTGATGATGAAACGTTGAAGATCGTCGGAAAATGAGATATCCGATTAAAGCTGTCAAACCAGACCACCTGGACGCTGAAAGGAGTGAGACATATTCCTGGCCTCAAAAGAAATTTGATTTCTATAGGACAGCTTGATGAAGAAGATTATAGTACAAGATTTTCAAACTGTGAATGGAAGATTACCAAAGAAGCACTCGTCATTGCTCATGGTAAGAAGACTGGTACTCTTTATGTAACCTCAAATTTAGAGAATATCATTGCAGTAGCAGATGTTGATGGAAAATCAAACCTATTGCACCAAAGGCTTGGCCATATGAGCGAGAAAAGGATGAAGACACTTTTGTCAAATGGGAAGTTGTCGGATCTAAAGAATGTAGATGTCGGACTATGCGAGGATTGCATCTTTGGCAAACAAAAGAAAGTCAGTTTTGCAAAGATTGGCAAGACACCCAAGGCATAAAAGTTAGAGTTGGTTCATACTAATGTATGGGGGACCATCTCCAGTTCCATCTCTTGCAGGCTCACTATATTATGTCACCTTCATCGATGATTCTACGAGGAAGGTGTGGGTTTATTTTTTGAAGAAGAAATCATAAGTCTTTGATACCTTCAGAAAATGGAAGGCCATGGTGGAAAATGAGACTGGTTTGAAAGTTAAGCGGTTGAGGTCTGACAATGGAGGAGAGTATAGAAACAGTAGATTCAGAGATTTCTGTGCAAACAATGGGATCAAAATGGAGACAAAAGTTCCCATGACACCGCAATATAATGGCGTAGCAGAGCGCATGAACAAAACTCTGAATGAACGTGCCAGAAGCATGAGGATACATGCCTGATTGCCCAAATTGATGTAACATCCTCAATACTGGGTTAATGACTAAATTGTAAAATTTCAGAATTTGATGATAAAAGTAGAATATTTGAATAGTTCAATGATTTATGTGGAGATATTTCCTTAAAGTTGTTAGTAAATATTAAAGGAGTCAAAGGGAAAATGAGTAATTGAACAAGGAAAATAATTAAATAATAATTAATGGGTATTATAATACCCATGTGGAGCATGATTGAAGAGATAAGCTTCCAAGCAATTCTTTTCTTCATCCTTTCTCTTCTCCACGTGAAAGCTCAAGCAAAAGGTAAGTTTCCTCATTAGTTGATTATTTGTTCAATTAAAGGTTAGGTTTTGATCCTTAGATGATAACTAAGC